TTGGAGCAACAATGATAGCGTACATGCAACATGCCCTTCTTCGCTATCATCGCCATTGAACATCCTCTCCAGTGAAGATGATGAAAGAAAAAAAAAATGGCGGGTCATTTGGTTCCTCGGTTGGCCCTTTGCGATTCACACAAAAATGGCAATGGGGACTTACGTATTAGCAGCAACAGCATAACAGAGGTGGTCGATGGTGGTGACCAAGAGCAGCTCTACGGTAGCAGGAGGCTGCCCGGCAGCCTACGGCTACTTCTTTTTTGCTTATGTCGGCAGTGGTCATCGGAGGCGAAGAGGGAAGAGGTAAGGCAGCAGGTTGGAGGGTTGTGTGGTGTTGGAAATAAGAAAGAGAGAGAGAGATTTTATTTTTATTTTTTTTATTTTGTTATAAAAAAATATAAAAATAAAATAAAAAATGCAAATTTTCTTTTTTATTTTTTTTAATCAAAAAAAGTATTTAAATATTAAAAAAAAACCGAAAAAGGAAAAATAATGGCAAATAGTCATTATGAAAAAGTTTATAGAAAAATTGAACCAAATTCGCAACAAAATGAAAAGTTTGGACCTCTGGTGTTAGTTCAAACCTTTTTGAATCAAAGTGACAATTTTCAGCTAACCACATAACCATTTGTGCAGTTTTGTCTTTAGAAAATGGAAAAATGGTTTTTTATTATACATTTATTTAATTAAATGTCAGCGACTTATGCGGCCTTTAAAATCTTATTTGTCTTAATTTATTTAAATGTCATATCATAAATGCAACTGGTTCTTTCTATTACCTTGTGCATAATGGTGAATTTTACTAACTGCGCAAAAAAAAATAACCAAATAAATCGGTTAAATAGCTAAACTTACATGACCAACCTGTTTTGGGGGCATATTTGTCGAGATTACTATGGACCATAAAATATAAATTAGTGTCCTTTTGACACTTATTGAAATCATACTTTATTGAACACCAAATTGTCCATGTTGATGACAAAGAAATCTGCGGCTAACCCAATAGCAATTTGGCTGTGGAAACTAAAATTCTTTATTACGTACTTGATTCGAAATTACTATGTTTAGCATTTTATTTTCATATCCGTACACCACGTTTCTAGACATGAAAGTTCGTGGAAATTAAATCAACCATAGGGGTGGTGGCGCAGTTGGCTAGCGCGTAGGTCTCATAGCTATATCTGAGTTATCCTGAGGTCGAGAGTTCGAGCCTCTCTCACCCCATTCCCTTTTTGGCCAACCCCTTTTTCTTCTACAACTTTTCCTACTTTTTACCTCTTTGCAACCCTTGTTTTGCACGATTGACTTGGCTGGCCAAGTTCCAAAGCTGATAGCATGTTAAATTTTACAAAATGTGAAAAACTACATATTCCATAGGTATATTTGAAATAATCAATAAGGGGTTGGCTAAAAATACACCTCATTTTACCAATTAGACATCCTAATTAATTTTTAAAATATTTTTATTGGTTGAATTTGCATTGTTTTCCGAAAAAGCTGATTATAAATAGTTAATCATATGTTGACTTTTTATAAAAGTGAGAACAGGATGTCTAAGGGGTGTCTCATTATCAACACCCATCAATAATCGTTTTCATTCACTATTAAAGTGAAGGTTGGTAGGGTTTGATAGGTGCACCTTGAGTTTTGGAAATGCTTCATGACGGACTAACAACCTCATTCCCAAAAATATGATTGTGGTTAAGTTTCTTGAACTTGTTGAGTCAATTTTATCTTTTAAGCAAAGGGAGTCATTCTCGTCCAATCATCTGTCATAGACCTCACATCAATTTTTTCACTCTCTTCTTACTTCCATTTTTTCAACCCACGTAACAAATATTTCATTTTTCTGGACCCTCACAACTCGCTCCTAATTTACAGGTACTTAAGGCAAATGAAATCACAAGTTCTTAAACATACATAGAAAGAAATAGGGAGTAGGTTCAAGACGGCGGTAAACACACTCAACCCCCATCATTATGAGCACACAGAATAAAAATAAGCCTGGAGGTGCCAGAATAAAAATAAGCCTAAGATCTTTGACATGATTGCATCCAAATCCTTTTCAAGGTCCCATTCATTTTGCAATATAAAGATGGGCACCGGACATACTCAACTTAGCCGCTCAAATTGTATGATTTATTAAATTTTCAAAACTGCAACACTAGTTACTTGATTGGCCAAGGAATTCCTAGGTAAGTTCTTATGGTCACCTCAAATCAGCCAACAAAAAAAAAATTCAACAATGTATTCATGACTACCACTAAGAAGGGATCAAACCAATTTTCCCCAATAACGAATACAAGTCAATACTCATAATTGCTCATCATTATCACACCCTTTGAATAGTCTATGGGCGTGTTTGACAAAAGTAGTTGTTAGCTGGAAGCGGGTAGCTGGTAGCGAGTAACGGGTAGCGTGTAGCGTGTAGCGGGTAGCTGGTAACGGGAAGCTGTAACTTTTATTTGTTATATGAGTGTTTGACAAAAGTAGCTGGAAGCTTTTGAAATATATAAAATTACATAAAATGACAATTCATTAAAAATAAATAAGTATATAAATATATTTTAAGGGTAATTATGGAAATTGATTTCAAAAGCTCAGTAGCGTTTTGTTAAACGTTACATGAAGTAGCTTTTAGATTTGAAGCGTTTTGTTTAAACTAAAAGCTAACCGCTCGTACTACCAAACGAAGCTTTTTGTTTAAACTAGAGCGTTTTATCAAAAGCTAAAACTAGAAGCTCCCAAACGCTTCCAAAAATTCTGTGTCAAACACGCTCTATTTCAACTTTCATATATATATATATATATATATATATATATATATATATATATATATATATATATATATATATATATATATAGTTGAATTATTGTGAGACTAAAAAACATGAAAACTTACGAACTAAGCATCAACAGTTAAAATTATGCGTCAGCATTCATATGGATTGCGGACGCATATATGCATACATGCATCAGCAGTCATATATTGACTGTGAACGCATATATGCATGCATGCATCAACAGTGCATCTATATAAACATTTTTTTTTTAAAATCGTTAAAAAAAAAAAATTAGCCTACATATAGCTTAAAAGCTGCATTTCGTTAATATTTGTGGTTTTGATTTTGAAAAATGATGTTTGAATTAGTAGTTCTCAAGTTCTCACGTTTTTTGGTCCGGAGTCGTTAGGAACCCAAAAATTGGTAAGGACTGCAATGATTATTCGCCACCAATCATTTCTTTAATGACACAAACGTCAAACTCATTTGCTTGGTCGTGACGCGTTCGCACACGACTCAAGTCCATATAACGTAATACGGCCTCCAGAGAATAATTATGTGCGACGAACGTTCATAAAATGTCATTTAAATGGGTTTTTCTTTCTTTTTTCGTTTATTTTTTTTATTTATTTTTTTTCGTTAAAAAAATCAAAAAAAATAGATATATGGTCGGTTTTAACGTTTTTTTTTTGTTTAATTTTTTTTTTCATTTTTTAAAAATAAAATATTTTATTTTCTTTTTTTCGGTTTTTTTAGTATTTTTATTACATACTTGAAGATAGTAGGGTTTTTTCTTAATTTTTGTTTTATTTTTTCTTTTTTTATTTATTTGATTTTTTAAACTAAATATGGTTTGACTTTTTAATGTTGAACAATTATAAAATTTTAAATAATAAAAATATTAATGGTCATAATATTTTTCGTTCATAGTTTTTTTTAATTATATTATTTTTGGATTATAAAATTTTAAATCAAATTATTTTGATTCATAGTATTTTGAATCATAACGATATTATGCATCATACATTTTTAGATCATATTAATTTGTATCATAATATATTAAATTAAATAAAGTTTTTGTTCAATACAACATTTGGATCATTATATTTTTTTGACTCATTTAATTTTGAATGATAAAAAATACAACAACTAAGGATCATTAAATATTTAAAACAAAATGTTTTTAGATCATAACAAGTTAGGGATTATAAACATATTGAATCATAATATTTTTGAATCATAATTATTTTGAATCATTTCAATTTGGATCATATGTTCAATGTTTTTTAAAAAAAATTTAATCTTTTAAAATCAAGTTTGATGTCTAAAACACTTTTTTAAAAAATTATAAAGTCATTAGAACAGTAAGTAGAAGTATTCCTTAAGTTTTTATAATTTTTAGAGAATTTTTTTTCTGGTTTTTTTTATAAATATAAAAAATAAAAAATATATATATTTTTTTTTAATTTTTCATGATTTGGCTCATTTTATAGAGGATTAAATTTTAATAACTTGTTTTTTTTTAATTCAAAGAAAAAAAATTATGGCCGAAAAACTAAGCGGTTGAAAAAAAAACACACCAGCCAATAAGGGTTGGACACTTTGTCATGTTGGGTAGGGGCACGTGTCAGCTCATACAGAGGCCACATAAGCCGAATTTTTCTTTTTTTTTCTTTTAATTTTTTTGTTTTTGTCATTTGTACCCTCCAAACAATTAACTTTCTCCGGAAATTATTAAAATCTCATAATTAATTACCAAAATACAATATTATCTCACAAGATTTTGTCGATAAATAAAATCAAATCTTTGCCATTTATTTTTTTAATTTTAAGGCCAAAAATTTTTCTCGTGGTTCCTACCATTTTTTGAATATATATATATATATATATATATATATATATATATATATATATATATATATATATATATATATATATTGACCAAGAACAGGTAATGAATTGAATTTGACGTAGTGAATGTATAAAAAGTCTTAAAAACAAGACTTAAGACTTAGAGCCCGTGCTTCACTCCTGTCTCCATCAAATACTTTACTGTCGACAAGATTCAAGACTTGTCATAGAATTTCTTCCCGTTTAGATCTTTCCATGAACATTCCAATGTCAGCTCATACAAATGCTTTTTAAAGAGCATCGAATATCTCGAATCCCAGAAATCACATGTATTAAAAAACTCAAAGAAAAAAAAAGTTCTTCATGGCATACGTTTCTTCGTTGTTCCATGCAATAATAATAATTATAATAGCATTGCTATCATCATGGCTTCCAACACTTGCCATTGCCTCATATGCCAGAAACCACACCGATCAACTTGCACTCATGGCTATCAAATCAAGCATCACCCATGACCCACAACAAGTTCTCCAAACATGGAACACCTCCACCTCCCTCCATTTCTGCCAATGGGAAGGCGTCACATGTGGTCGCAGGCATCCAAGAGTCACCAAACTGGATCTTGAATCAAGAGCCATTGTTGGTACCTTATCTCCTCACATTGGAAACCTGAGCTTTCTCAGAGTCATCAGACTTCACTGGTGTAATCCCACCTCAAGTAGGTGCTCTGTTCAGGTTGCAGAAACTAATCCTCATCAACAATTCTTTCACCGGTGAAATCCCTGCCACTTTATCAAACTGCACCCGACTCACTGTTCTTGGGCTGAGCCGCAATAAACTAACCGGAAATCTCCCCAAACAGCTTGCTTCACTCATCAACCTCACCATCATCACCCTTCATAATAATCGTTTCACAGGTGGGATCCCGTCTTTCTTGGGAAACTTCACTTTTCTTGAAGCCATATCAGCTGCAAACAATCGTCTGGATGGAATTATTCCATCTTCTTTAGGTCAATTGCAAAACTTGAATAAAATCGGTTTCAGTAACAACCAACTATATGGTATAATCCCTCCATCCATCTACAATTTATCGTCTTTATCAATTGTTGATTTCTCCGAGAATCAAATCAGCGGAGAGTTACCAAGCGATATAGGATTGATGCTACCGAATCTTGAAAATTTACAAATCTGGGGAAACAAGTTTACAGGAAGCATTCCTGTTTCGTTTTCTAATTGTTCAAATTTGGAAGATATCAACTTGGCAGAAAACGGTTTCACTGGGAAAATTGGTGTGAGTTTTAAACGAATACCAAATCTTCGTTTTCTTGGGTTGTTTTCCAACAGTTTAGGGAGTTGGGAAGCTGATGAGATGAAGTTCATTGATTCCATGATCAACTGTAGCAAATTAGAACGATTGCTTGTTCATGAAAACCAACTCAGAGGAGTGCTTCCTGATTCTGTAGGCAATCTCTCATCTCAACTTAAATCTCTAGCTTTTGGTCGGAACTTGATATATGGGAACTTGCCAGCTGGAATAGGGAATCTTGTGAAATTAGAGTCGTTGGCCATGCAAATTAATCAGTTGACAGGCGTAATTCCTAGTGAAATTGGTAATCTTGAAAATTTAAAACTATTATACCTACATGATAACAACTTCATTGGTAAATTTCCAGATTTTATAGGAAATCTTTCATTGTTAAATGAATTGGATTTGTCGATTAATAGATTAGAAGGGAAAATACCTCAAAATCTTGGAAACTGTAGGAGTTTGGCCTTGTTGGATCTCTCTGGAAACAATCTTACTGGCCCAATACCAGTTGAGCTTTTTCAACTATCATCCCTGTCGAAAGCCTTAAATCTTGCTCAAAATCATTTAGTTGGATCGCTTCCCCAAGAGATTAAGAAGCTTAAAAGCTTAACCAGGCTGGATCTATCACAGAATGATTTGATTGGAGCAATCCCAGATGCGATTGGAAGCTGCACGAGCCTGGAGTACCTAAATCTGAAATCCAATTCCTTTCAAGGTCCAATACCTACAACGATGAAAGATTTGAGAGGCATCAGGAATCTTGATCTTTCTAGTAACAACTTCTCAGGACAGATTCCGAGATTTTTGGAGCAACTAAACTTGTCTTCATTGAATTTGTCGTTTAATAATCTTGATGGGGAAGTACCCATCACAGGAATCTTCAAGAATGCAAGTGCAATCGCCATTGATGGGAACGATAGGTTATGTGGAGGCATTCCAGAACTTCATCTACCAAAGTGTGACATAAAAGAAACATCAAAGAAAGGTTTAACAAAATCACGTGTTATTCTAATCGTCATCCCTGTTAGTTCCTTTCTAGTTGTGGCAATGGCGTTGTTTTTATTGTTTCGTTGGCAAAGAAGGAAAAGGCAACCAGAACCAACAGGAGCGTCAATGATGCAACCATTTTCTAGGGTTTCTTATGGAAGCATACTCAAGGCTACTGATGAATTCTCCGAACAAAACCTGATTGGGACGGGGAGTTTCAGTGCTGTTTATAAGGACTTCCTTGAACCAGTTGGTGCACTGGTCGCTATTAAAGTTCTACAGCTTGAAAACCAAGGAGCTTTGAAGAGTTTTATGGCGGAATGTGAAGCTTTGAAGAACATAAGGCATCGTAATCTTGTAAAAATCATTACTTCATGCTCGTCTATCGATTTTCAAGGTAACGATTTCAAAGCTCTGATTTACGAGTTCATGCCAAATGGAAATCTCGAAAGGTGGCTACATCCAAGCCCCGAACAAGAGATTCTCACTCCACCAAGATTAAACCTCCGTGAAAGATTAACAATCGCAATAGATGTGGCTAATGCCATTCATTACCTCCATCAAGACTGTGAGGTTCCCATAATTCACTGTGATTTGAAGCCAAGCAATGTTTTACTCGACAGTGACATGGTTGCTCACATTGGTGATTTCGGGCTGGCAAAGTTTCTTCCATTGAAACCACACCAAAGCAGTTCAATTGGGATAAGAGGAACTGTTGGGTATGCAGCACCAGGTAACCCGTAAACACAATCATTTGTGAAATTTGTTATTATTAGAATATGAAATTTTAAAATTGATGATAACATGCAGAGTATGGAGTTGGAAGCGAGATGACAAAAGAAGGAGATATTTACAGTTTTGGGATTTTGTTGTTAGAGATGATGACACGAAAGAGGCCTATAGACCCAATTTTCGAAGAAGGGTTGAACCTCCATTGCTATGTGATGATGGCGTTGCCTGATCGTCTAATGGAAATCATCGAACCGGCTCTATTGCCTGTCCATGACGAGGAGCTAGAAGCTGCAAGTGTCCAACGTGATTACAGTCATGATGAAGAGAGAAACCAAAAATTGGAGCAGGGCCTCGTTTCCTTGGCACGAATAGGGTTGGCATGCTCCGTGGAATCTCCTAGAAAGAGAATAAATACGAACAAAATCATCCATGAGTTGCGTCGCATCAATGGTTTTCTTACAATTAATTAGAGTTTTGTAGGTGATTTTAAACATCGGGGTGGTGGCGCAGTTGGCTAGCGCGTAGGTCTCATAGCTATATCTGAGTTATCCTGAGGTCGAGAATTCGAGCCTCTCTCACCCCATCCTTTTTTCCTTTGGTATTGGTTTCCTTGTTAATACAAAGGACTAAACGTGTGCCTAGAAATGCATTTTAATATAAACGACTCGTCATCTTATAAATCATTATTAATGTTTGCTCTTGTACGGATTATTTGAGCACATGTTACAGATTGGTTTAATCTGAAGATACAAGCTTAAGGAAATAGATGTTCGATCTCTTTTCTAATTTACAGAATGTGTTAATAGCGATGAACACTGAACACAAAAGGATTTCTAGTTGCATAACGATGATGAACTGAAGTTCACTCGCATGCATAAACCATATTTGACAGATAAGATTTTAGTTCCATAAACAAAAGGAAAAAAAACACAACTCATAGTTAAATCAACATCTAAATCTCCAAATTTCTCAGCTAATCATATATCAACAAAAAACAAGATATGATAAAAAAAAAACTAGGCAACAGCAACAGCCTCTGCAGCAGGAGGAGCAGTGGAGGTGGTGGTGGTGGTGGTGGCAGATGGTGGTGAGAAGTGTTTGAGGTGGAGAGGGGTGTTGTGCTTCAGTTTTATTAAAATCTGCCTCATCCTTGATAAATCAGTTGGCTTTCCAGGCTTGGGACCTTGAACAACAGCAACTGAAGGCTTCTTGTCTTGTTCCTTCTTTGATCCTCTTGTCTCTATAACAGCCACTTCTTTTGGAACAAGGTCTGCAATGGCCTTCCAGTAACTCTTGTCAGCTTCTTCATGGAATTTTTCCCTTGCAGCCAAATATACCTACCACATTTGGATATCCAATTTCAAATTTCCCCCAATTTTTGAGAATTTCTAATAAAATGTGTGCAAAGAAAGATTCATGCTTACCTTTTCACTTTCACGATTTGTTGCTATGTTATTGTCACAAGTGATTTTCCTCTTGCTGTGGAATTTGATCTTATAATCATCTGCTTCATCAATGATTTGGTTTAGCAACTCTTTCTCTATCTTCTCCTTCTCTTCTAAACGCAATGCATTTTCTCTGTCATGAGAAACATGTTAGGGTTCCGATTCAAAATTCATACAACATATCAGATTACAGTTAGATTAGGGCTGTCAATGAGTCAGATCGAGACTAATCATTCAATGAATTTGATATCAATTACAGTCAGAATAGGTAACAGATATAATCAGAGTTAAATGTCAACTGATTCTCTGAATAATACTACAACAGCTAATAATTAATCGATCAAAGCATAAAATGATAGTAGAATGAGAAAATTAACAGACGAAATTAATCCATAAGCTTGTGTAATTAAAGAAAAACATAAATAATTAATAAGAATGATAAAGCCCTAACCTCCTCCATTCTCTGAGTGCAAAACCCTCCTCAGGCTGCATCTCCGACAGTGGGGGCAGAACCGATCCATCTGACGCCATATACTCACCTTCGAATGGCGTTCCATTTTCGTTAAACGATGAAATTTCGGGCTGATCGGGCGATAATCCTCCACCAGAAACGAAAATCGGCGTCGGGGACGGATAATTAGATACCTGCTCCTCCTCGGTAACCAAAACCGGAGAGTCTTCAACTACGAAACCATCATCGGAAAGGTGAACTGGATCGGCGACTGAATCATCAAACGAAGAAGACATGGTTGACTCGGCGATCTGTTTCTACACGATTTGCTTGGTGAACAGGTGAACTGTCGTTATTTTTCCTTTGAATTAAGATTTAAGACTCTTCTTTTTTTTATATATATATATAGGCCCGTTACAGGCCTCAAATCTGATGGGTCGGGACTCAGGACTCGGGAGTCCGGACACGATTCTAAAACTCTAATCCAAATTACCGTCTTTTCCGACAAGGCCCATATCTACTTAGCTAAATTAAATGATTTTTTTTTATTGGATTTGTATAAGGAAAATTAAATAATCTAACCGCAAGTTAATATGTATTTGAAGAAAAAATAATTTTAAAAATTGTTTTTAACAAAATATCCATTTGGCCCATACAGGGCACGCCGGACCAAAAAAAACATATTTTCTGACAGAAAAAATATATTTCGGACTAACATTGTGGAATTCTGGACCAACATTCTTGGTTACAGACTGAAATTTCGGATTTCAGAAAAAAATAAAAAATAATAATAATAATGATAACTCTAGAATTTTGAGAAAAAAATTTATTTTTTATTTAAATATAACAAAAAAATTAAACAAACATAGTAAAATGTGAACTATATACCATATTAATGCATAAACTCAAACATTTTATTGAAACAATGATATTAAACACTTCGAAATGGACATTTCGAACATATATAGACATATTTCTTTAAAAAAAAAACTCTAAAATTTGAATATCAAATATGAAATAGAGCATTCAGGAGTAAGTGTTCATTTAGACATGGGGGGGGGCGTTGAGGAGAGGCAACGTGGGCAGCTGCACAGGGCCTAATTTTTTTTATTATATATTATATATTTTTTTACTTAAAAATAAAAACTTATAATAACAAAATGACCCTTTTGTTCTAGCTCATCTGGTGCCTTTGAGGATATTTAAATCCTCGGAACCGGCTCTGCATTTAGACACCTCGAAATAGACATTTCATATATAATTTGATAAAAAAAAATTGTAAGAAATAAAAGAACTCCAGAATATGAACAGTAGTCCGGAAACGGGGCATTTGTGAGAAAGTGATTATTTTTCAAAAACTGAAAGAAAAAAAGATGGTTATTTTCTTTGAAAAACTCATTTATAATGATTAAATTACTTAATTTCCCAAAAAAAAAATTATTTAGTTCATGGCTAAACTGTTGATAATTCATATATATTAAGGGCCAGCTACACAAATGCTAAAACTTATTTAGTTCTATCTAACGTGCTAAAAATTCATATATTTTTATGGTTGTTGTCACAAAATTTTCATTTAGACTATATTTTAAATGTTTCTAAATGAGTTTTACGTTTTTTAGGATTAAGTCGTCGTTAATCATCAAATAAACTTACTAATCAGATTATTTGTTTTCTAATAGGTGTATTTTATGTCGGGCTTAGGATGTTACATGTTTTTTGTTTACTGCCTTAGCATCTAGATATGGTTGTTATTGTGATTATCATAGCTTTAGTTCTACTTTGTTTATTTAAGAGTAAAATACATATGCATGCAATTCGTCTGAATTTTGTGGTTTATGAAAGCGGTGAAGTTGATAAAGTTTTCAGTATGTAATTCATCTTCAATGGTGATGGAAAAGTGGAAAATAAAGAATTGGACTTTATTTATATTAGGGTGGGTGTCACACTAAAAAGAATAAGAAAAATATGTCAATACCAAATAATCTAAAATGACATCTTGTTTTAAATTATAGAAAAATATCACATAAACCAAAAAACTATAAACGTTTTATTATAGATCTTGTTAAATTAGAAAAAGTTTGCTATTATAAGAACCTATAAACTATTTTTAAAAAATACAAAAAAAAAAAAAGGAAAAATGACAAAATGACATTGCCATTAACAACTATTCTGCTTTTAACAAATTTTTCTAACCAAAAAAATATTATTATGATTAACTAGGTGTGAGACTTGTGTATTACACGGGTTTATTAAAAATAAAAATTTAATATCAATATATAAACATGAAATATTTTATAAAGTAATACTTTACATAACAGAATGTAATCTTTTGCAACATTTGCAAAAGAAATTAAATCGTTTGAAGTATTTATGAGAATTTATTATCAAATTAATATGATGATTTTATTTCCTTATAGAACTCATTACAATTTTATGGAATTTTATTTTAAGAAAATGGAAATCCCTAAAAAATGACAAGTGGAAAATAAAAATTCTAAAACTCTAACAAAATGACAAGTGTCAAAATGAAGGAGAATATGACGTGTGGCAAAAAAACTTTCATTTATTTGAAAGGATTTAGAAAATAAGTTAATTTGTGGTAACTTTAATGAAAAAAAAAAGTAAGCTGTCTCATCATGGTGATCCGGTGGCTTTAATAGAAAAAAATGTATAGTGCTTAAATCAAAAAATGTCAAAATATAATATTTTTTTATGTAATTAGCCTTTATATTAACGTATTTTTTTGTAATTTATTGGGCAAAATGTCAACGGATGGCTTCTTCACCGATCACCAACCAGTCATGTCCTTTCATTGCGAGTTTAAAAGGTAAGTGTATGCTTTGAAATTGGTTTTGTTCATGAACTTATGCATCCACTTAGGATGGGTGAGACTGTATAACCTCTATATGTGTGATGATATTCTCAACATGCTTCGGTTGCACATGAGGCTAGCTACCTCTTATGAGACTGGTTTATGAATCATGTTTTGATGTGAGTGATTTTACGGACTTGGAGATTGATTTTGATTATGAGAATGAAAGCATTTGCATTGCATTTAATAATTGATGATTATTTACTTTTGATGTTGTGATGATATTGAGCAATGCTACTTTTAGAATGCTTCTTCCCCCAACCCCACCCCGGCTATTGATCTTACTATTCTTTTGAAGTTTTATAACCTTTTCAGAAGTTTGACTTTCGAAATGGATTATCACCCTTGTGCAATGCCCTTAATAGTTGACCCCCAAAAATACTTACTAGATTTTCCAAACTTAATATATGTATTTTGAAATGTATTAGATTGGAAGACTTAGTAGAAGACCAAAGATGGATCTTAGCTTTTGGAAATTTGAATAATGACGCATTTAAGGTTAAAATGTATGAAAGATTGTTTACTTGATTTTTGTCTCTAATTAGTTTGTTACACCCCCGTATGCCTTAACGATTTTTTTTTTTTTAAATGTTAAGGAATTCACGGTTTGGTATGTTTATCCACAAATAGATTTTCTTAAATGACCCTCTTTTATAAAGTTTACTTCAAATTTGCTTTTACAAGTATATTCCAATTTTCAAATAGCTCATCAAGGGTGCTACATAAATGGTGAGAAGGTAGAGTTGATGGTTGTGTGCTACATAAACGGTGAGAAGGTACAGTTGGCGGTGGTGGGTAGTGAGGAGTGGAAGTTATGGAAGTGTGGAGCTCATAAATGCAACCCAATTCTGTTTCAACAACCCAGTTTCTCAAATAGATCAGAAGATGATGGTCATTTACGAAATTTGCAAAAGATGGATCATTTTATTATACCTATGTATGGTATATGCATGTAAAAGTGTTTATTTCACCCACATAGAGTACAATAAATATGATGTTTCGTTAACCCAAGTGGACTATGTCAAAATGTCAATAGCTTTTATAATCCATGTGTTTGATATCTACTTTTTCACTTTTCAGATAGACATATCCTCCTTAAAGATGTTATAAATGTATCGTACTTGATAAAAAGAACTAGTCAAAACTTTTGGCCAAGAAATTTGACCAAACTTTCATATTTACCAACTCTTGAGATCCCTTTGGCCTAAACTTTTAAACATGAAGAGGATGGTTACAATAAATGAGTGCTCAATTGTCCCTTTCGAACACAGACTACAAAGGTGGGTGCTTTGCAATTTGTGGCCCATGGGGCCATTGGTCGTACTCATATTTGTCACCCATGTGATGAGAATCTAAAAAGCTTTGAAATTCTGGATTAAATGGGTCCCTTCTCTCATATTATATCTCCTCCCTATGTTGATTGATTCCTTTCCAATCTTGGTCCCTATTCTTCCCAATAATTGCCAATCATTCCATCAATAATTCACCGTAGTTAGGTCTACTGGTTCTTTCAAAAAGACATACCCAACATCGGAATAGAATACCATTTCTTTTTTACTCAACGCACTTTTCAATATTATTTATCAAAACAGCGTTAAAGAAACATGAGCTAAGATCGATTTAATGATACGCGGATTTGTCATTCACATAATGTTACGATAGTGTAAGAATTCACATACGAATAAGTAATTAGGATTAAAAAAAAAAAAAAAAAATCATCTACCACGAATGCTAGCTGGGGAACGCACACCTTTTTCACTGTTACTCTCATCCTCTATATGTTCATCAATGGCATTGTTATTATTGACACTCATTTCAGAGCTCGCATTGCTACTTGTTGCAAGTGGGGAATCCGAAACACTAATCATTCGACCCCGTGTGGGCCCGGGCCCGTTCCCGGATCTCACACTGTACATCGAGGACGCCGGAATCTTAGTCATCAACGGCCTCAAGTTCCCTGGTACCGTCTTCCTTATATCCTGCCCCACAAAAAAAAAAGGTTAGTCTTCCAACAACCCTGAACTGGCCCACACTGTTGTGTCTGTCCATGTGAGATGTAAATCAAGTACACAGTGGCCCAGTGTGCGATGGCTGATCAAAATGAAATGATAAAAGGAAAAACATACCATATGTCTCATGGCCATATCTAAAGATTTCTTGGAGAGTGATCTTCCAAAACCTGAGCTGTCAGGTGACGAGGATTTCCCGGATAAGTTATGTGGCGAGTGTTTGTCGTCTTGCTTAGGTGGAATCAATTTGCGCATATTTATCACCCTTTCAACCATTTTTGTCCCATATGATCCCGGGCTCATGTTATCATTAGCTTTAGCATAAGCACGATTCAATGCAGGAATAGGCACAGAGGCTCCACTCTTACGAGTCATTCCATTAGTGGCATTAACACCATTAGGAAGCCTTCCTCTTGAAGGTGAACATGATTGCCTTCTTACACCTCTTCCATTAGGCACAGGCTCAATAGAAGAAGACCGGCTACTCGGTCCACCCGCCCTTCCTCTGATGGATGAAATCGGTCTATCGGTGAGCGAGGTGCGTAGATTTGGTGGTGCATCGAGGGTATAACCGGGCATTTCTTGAGGCTTCCATGGTCTTGGTCTTGTGTTGGGAGAATCAGTAGTAGCTAATGCTTGTGTTGTGTTTTTTACTGTGGGAGATTTAACTGGTGGGGCGGGTGTTTTTGTTACTGTGGTGGGCTTTCGGGTGGGTGTGGATGCCCTTGGTGTTGGTTTGGCTGTGGATAAAGATGGCCTACTTGTTGGGGTTGGGGTTGAAGATCTTGGAGTTGCCCTAGAAGTAGGGGTAGATGATCTAGGTGGGGCTGTTGCTTTAGATGAAGAAATGACAGGTCGAGAGGTGGTGGGTGTTGAAGATCTTGTAGGCCTTGATGTGGGTTTTGAGACTGTGGTGGTTTTAGGGAGTGAATTTGATGTGGTTCTTGATGATGATGTGCCTAAAACTGGTCTACTGGTTGGAGTTGAAGGCCTTGAGCCTGAACCACCTGATGAGGTTGGCCTACGGGGTCCTGCACTTGGTCCAGGAGACGCGGCTCGTTGTCTTGACACCATGTTGGTCCTAGTAGCCACTGCCTCTGGTTGTGTATTTGATAGCTGCACCAATTACCAAAACCACATTTTATGACTTAATACAGAAAGAACCAACACTTGATAATTAAACAAGATAGAAGGGTCTTACTCTAGATTTTGGTGCATTTGGATGATGAGCTTTAGAAGCTCCATTCTGGTTCATGACTGTTTTCTGTGATTCGGATTCCAGTGAAGGAAAGAGAGGAGTACCCGGGGGTGTTAAAAGCCTGAAAAAAGATAACAATCTAACTTTACTAAATGTGATCAGTAACATGTGCCTACAACTCAACATAAATATAGAACCACAATTTGTACATATGGTGTGACAAGTAACTTTAGCCCCACAGAATAAGACTGGAAGAATAAAAGGCTAATCACTGGATTAACATAAGACAAGATTACCAATCATAATCGTTCTTATCACTTTCAGAGTTGAGGAATTCATCAGCTCCGGTTTTTCGCATACTGGTTGCAGAAGGCACACTGAATTTCGGAGAATTTCCTGTTCTTGATCCTGTGACATCAAATTTTTTATATAGTTATTGAAATATATGACGATAAATCAGTATCCAAATGGCCAGGTAGGGTACACAAATCAGAGAAATTCATTAGGGATTTCCTATCCTTTTACTCCTAAATTTTAGATTATATATTACAAGATTTATTTCTTAAAACGATAAGAAAAGGTCATAAACTAATAATTTTGAAGCAATAGCAACTGAAGTAAGAAAATACTCATCAAATAAATGGAATACCAAGTGACGAGTCGAATTCCTCTTCTGCGTTGTGAAGAAGAACATCATGACGTTCTTTTTCTCGTTTTCTCATCTCCAAAAATAACCCTAGCTCGTCTTCTTTCTCTCTCATTGCCGAATTCCTAAAACTCCCCATCATTTGCTGTTGCCGTTGCTTCACCGGCCCCAGCATTTTCTTTTTCCGGTGCCCGAAAACTCCGATTCATCGCCGCTAACTATATTATCCACGGATTTTCTAATCCTTAGACATAAACCCAACAAAGCACAGATTTTTCACGTCACCACCAAAAACCTGACCTTTCGAGCTCACAGTGCACGCTACACAAACAAGTGCCCGGAAATTTACAGCACCAGATCTGACAATAGAACTGCAACGCTTCTAAATTTGTGGCGGAAATTTTCTGAAAAAAAACAAACCCAATCCACGCATTTGAACAACACAAGCAAGAATCGCCGAGAACTGTTAGTATTTCAAAGAAATCTGTGAAACATCCGGTTTGATCAAAGCCTTGAATTTTGAAATTTGGTAAGAATGGAGACGAACACTACACGACTGTAAGAGAGAGAGAGAGAGAGAGAGAGAGAGAGAGCACTGGAACAATTTTGAGTCAATTTTAGTCCATTACCAGCAGACACAAATGGGGGGAGAGAGAGTGATTTTTAGGCAAATATATCTCAGAACCGGAGCAAGAATGCTTCAGTAACTTGTACTCTTTGGAGTAAAAGTTGTAACATTATCTGGATTTGTTGTTTTAGACTCTGGAATAAAGGATAACCATTAATAAAGGAATGTTAATTGATGAAAGCGTTTTTTATTTCGTTTAGACGTTTCATAATGAGCGTCAACAATTGACCCCTTAATGCTTTTGTGTACGCTCGTTTCGATCCCTAAAATTTATACTAATTCTAAGAAAAGTACCTAAAGTTTCGGACCCATTAACATCCGTGTAAAAAAATAAAAAATGAGTCCTTATATATATATTTTTTATATAAACAAAAAACATTAATATTATAACAACCGATAACTGTTAAAAATTACATAAAACAAAAACTGTCACTATTCTGTTATTAACCTATCTCTCATATTAATATGAGTAAAAAATGTTTCTATCCTTTAAAGGAAATAGTCATATACAGTCGTACATTTTGTATATGTCTATGGTCGACCTTATTGTTTTTTAATTGTATTTTTGGATGCTTCCAATAAATAAAGTTTTTTTTATTCTTAAAAAATTACTACATAAGGGTTGATTACTCAATTATGCTTCAACTTTTAATGGTGTATGTAACATGTGAACTTAATTTAGAATCATGTACGATATCAAAAATGGTCCCGGAAGGATTTGAGAGTTGAGGTGAAAGTGTAAATTGGCGTAATACGACGGGCCCAACGCAACATAGTCATAATGCAAAGGGCTTATAGTGGAGTTTTTCTCACTTCAAAGTCACGTTATGACAACTAAAAGTTTTAGGTTCAAACTTTTCTTTTTCTGTCTTGGTGACATTTGGGTTCACCTTTCATCGTCCTTTATTTATAATATTTGAAAATACATAATACCTAAAAGATATTAAGATGAGTCAAGCAAACGTATATGGGGGAGATGTATCCTCTATGAGTCAATGTCATACCTTGAAAATGATGATATTACGTAAAATAAGGTATGTTTCGAACTGTTTATTTGAAATAACAAGTGTTTTTTAATCTATTAGCGTGGTATTAAATAGAAGTTTTGAAAAAAATATATATATTTAGATTAGTTTATGCAATGTCGAAAATTTATAAGATCAATTCCAATGAATATACAAAACTAGTCTTTTGATGTGAAAATGCATTCCATTGGACCACTAAACTCAACACAAAAAATATATAACACTATTCTTCACACCAAAACTTTTACTATTTGGTTAGTTTTTATATATATTTTACAATTTTAATAATTGTTATAGTTTATATTATAATATTAAAATATGTTTTTTGTGTAATTTTTTAGTGTATGGTTTGAGTAGAAAAACATTTTGATGTTAAAAAATACAAGTATTTTTTAATGTTTGGTAAAATAACCAAAAATATATTTCCTAGTTATGTGGGACAGCTATAAGTTATAGAGAGTTTTAATAAGTTAGAGGTTAGTAACTTATAACAAATGACATATCTTCGGTACCACTCTGCTATAAGTTTTTTTTCAAAGTTGTCTATCAAATACTTATTTTAACTTATATCAATGTGAAACCGATAATAAGTTAAAAAAAAAAAACTCATTCTTCAAGCTTAGCCAAAGTTGTTGGATCAAATCTTAAAGGACTTTACAGAATGCGCTTTGGTGCAGTTTAAAATTAAAAGTATAAACCTGTTTAAATATATAATTTGTAATTTTCAAAGACTACAATCATACTGTAAAATTTTAAATTGTATTATATGGTGCGGTACTGTTTTTTGTAGTTTAGGAAACAAAAAATTTTATACACTTTAAAAGACTAACTTATTTAGGGGTGTCTAGGAGTGCTTATCAAAAAAACATCTTATCTTTTTTAATAAAAGTGTTTATTAGTTTATTCGGAGTCAAAACATAAATTTAAAAAAAAAAATGTTTTGAGTAACTTATCCAATACTAAAGCGTAATAAGTTGATAAGTTATTGTTTGGATTCAATAAATTGTGTTTATACGTGTAACAAAAAATTATTTATCAAAACTTATTATTTAAGTCGATAACTGTTTATGAAATCTCCATATCCAAACAATTAAAACTCTTTATTACCTTCCAAGTGGAAGCTTTGACCAAAGGATCATCGAGCGCTTTACAAAACCGATTAATAAAAAGCACGAGAAAACTGAGAAGGGAAGTCGATCATGCCAATACCGAAGAGAGTCGTGAGTACCTGTCATAAGGTTTGTGTTGTCAATGTTGGATTAGATATCTAAGCTCATAACTATAATTGGTATAAACTTAAATTGATAGTGGCACAGTCCTTTTGGGTTGCCCTCAAACATAGCAATTGGACAGGATGATTTATTAGAGAGAGAGGTTAATTTATTATTTGATTAATAAATTAAAATAATTGATTTATTAATGTAATATGGAAATAATATATTAATTAGAAGTCGTATTATTTAATTAATAGTTGATCAAAATTTAATTATAATTAATTTTGGGATTAATTGTATTAATTAAAAGTGTGCAGTGGCCATTTGACAATTTATTGATAGTTGAGGAAAAGGGCTCTAGAACCTCCTTGAAAGAGGTTGGACGAAAACTTCTAGTAAGGGCCTAGAATTTTCGTCCAAAGGCTTTTGGATGGAGGTTCATGGGTTGCTTGGTTCCCAAGCTAAGGGATTAGGGTTTCCTCCTTAAACCCTATCTTTGGCTCTAAGCTACCTCACCTATATAAAAGGCATTAAACCGTCTCAAATTCGGCACCTCAAACCCTAGAGAGCATAGGTCGAAATTCTCCTGTAACACCCAAAAATTTAAGCCGATTTAAAACTTTTAAAAACATTTCAAACCATTAAAAATCATTACAACTTTGTTTTCAAATGTATAATATCAGAGTTTCCCAGAAACATAAACAAAACATGAGGAGTTGTACGATCACGCCTTCGCCTTGCCGCGATCCCCTGATGTACCTGGAACAATAAACTGAAACTGTAAGCCCGAGAGCTTAGTGAGTTCCCCCAAAATACCGATACACTGCACATAAAACATATATAAATAACAGCATGTACTGGGTCCACAGCGTTACAGACTGGATTACCCCCCTGGGCCCACAATGTGAGACTGGATTGCCTTCCGGGCCCACAGCTCACATCTGGCTTGCCATCGAGCCCACAGTACGAGTCTCCCTTAGCCCGTAACTGGAATGCTCCCGAGCCCACAGTACGAGTCTCCCTTAGCCCGTAACTGGAATGCTCCTAGAGTTTGTTGGCTACCGCACGGGGCAGTACAACCTCAACCCATCCCACATAACATGTAACATATAACATAACCACTGAGCATGCAATAATCATACAACATCACAGGTAGTCCTACAGGTCTACCTAACTGTCATAACTACTAGCATGTATCACTAACTCATACTCAACAACTAACACTGCTAGGATAACATATCCAATGGGCCGGCCTTGGTGCCTTAGACCCCTAAGTATAGTGAGGATAACTCACCTCGCAACTGTCGTCTGAAACTAGAAAGCTCAACTCCCGGATCACCAACATGAACTCCACCACCTATAGTTACCATAAAACCCTTTTTCATAATTTTCCAAATTACCAAAATACCCTCAGAAGTCACCTGGGCAACTCTTGGTCAAAGTCAAGGTCCTCAGTCTTTACGTGTTATATCGGCCCTAGAAGCTCAGATCTATGAATTGGATGCACTGGAATCGATTAGAATCAACTGTTTAGTGAGGACATACATAGGACTCGACGAGTTGTTCTTGGACTCGGTGAGTCGGAGCGCAAACCCCCCCGATTTCTCCGATTTTAGAGTTGTGAGCTGAATCAGCGAGTGGAAGAGGACTCAGCGAGTTAGAATAAGGATCTGGAAGTAGAGGGACTCGGCGAGTCTACGTCCCGACTCGGCGAGTCGAGTCGCGAGTTAGAAAAGTGTGAGTCCGGGAACTCGGCGAGTAGAGTCAACCAGGAAGTTGACTTTGACCAGGGGTAAAATAGTCATTTTACCCTGAAAACAGTTATCAGTATCTGATTTAGTGTTTATGGGATTGTAGCCGGGGAGTTCCGGAGCAGCAGTCAACCAGTTTCAGATTTAGCACCTCAGCAGCCAGCGTTACGAGGTGAGTTTCCTTCCAGTAGGAACGGGTCTACGGCCACAATGCCGGCCTGTTTAGTTAGCAGTAGTTCCGGACTTCGGTCCGATGCAGTAGTTCAGTGTGCTTGATGTCTTTGTGATTTAAGCATGTCTTCGTGTTATGTGTTCCGGACTTCGGTCTGATGCAGTATGCAGTATATGTGTTTATGCTAGTAGTTATGATTATTGTATGCTATGTTCAGTCAGTTCCGGACTTCGGTCCGATGCAGAGGGCAAGGCCCTGGTTAGTTCCGGACTACGGTTCGGTGCAATTTCCGGACTACGGTCTGATGCAGAGGGCAAGGCCCTGGTTAGTTCCGGACTTCGGTCCGATGCAGTTTCCGGACTTCGGTCCGATGCAGTGGGCAAGGCCCAGTAGTTGCTTTATATGTTATTGTATGGTATGTGGTAGTTTGGAGGAGCTCACTAAGCTTTGTGCTTACAGTTTCAGTTTTTGGTTTCAGGTACTTCCGCTAGTAAGGGGAAGAGCTCGGGATGATGGCATGGCACACACCACAGCTTCAGTTTATCCTGGGAGTTTTATTCGGATATTTTGATATGTTTTGACATCAGTTGATTTGATAAATTTATTATGACATTTTGAGACGCATGATCCATGGATTTATCTTTTAATATTTGATATTATGGTTTAGTAAAGTTTTCAAACGAAAATTTTTGGGTTGTATTTTTGGGATGCTACAAGTTGGTATCAGAGCCTTGGTTTGAAGGATTCAGGCACACTTTCGGGTATGACTGGACTCAAACTAAGGAAATGGTAAAAGATTT